TGTTAGCTGCAATGCCAGTGTTGACATATTTCACGCTGCCATCTGCCATGCGTATTCGCGTAGGTAGTAGATTGCGCTGCACATTTGCGTTCATCTTGCTGGCTAGTGGTTGACTTATAAAACTTCGGGACGCTCCAGTATCCAACGTCGCTTCTACCTGTTGTCCGTTGAGCTGAACTTGTGCCGTAATTCGAGTTTCGTTTACGTGGATTAGTCTTAAGTCCTTGCAGGGCCTGAATTCCGAGAGAACGGCTTCCCCGCTGTTGGACGTCCTCTTATCTCGTTTCCCGGATCTTCCTTGCAGCAGTCAAGGGTTCGTGTGTTCTGTTTTCCACAGATCCAACAAAAAAGAATTTTCGGATTTCGACAGATTCTTGCCATATGTCCCAATTTCCCACACCTTCGGCATGCATTTGGTGCGTCTTGGATTCTCTGCTCGAAAGATTGGACTAGGTGGTTTCTTTCCTCTCTTAGCCTTGGAGGTCCGGTTTTCTCTTGTTCTCCCCGTATAGCTTCGTAATCACCAGCCATGTCGATTAGTTCTCCCAATGTTTCGAAGTCTCGTCGTCGGATGTAAAGCTGGTAGTCCGGATGTGCATTTCGATAAATTCGTTCTAGTTGAGCAACGGCTCCTATATTTGCGTGTCGCATTAGAATTTGGATTGCTACAACATAGTCTTTGAATGTCTCCCGTGACCTCTGACGGCGGGCCCGGATTTCATCTTCTAACTTCTCAAAGTATCTTGCCGGTAGAAAGAACTTGAGAAAGTCAGCTTTGAAAGCGGTCCATAATTTCCACTGGCTGTTATTACTTCTATACCAATTTAATGCTTTATCCTTCAAAAGTTCTGGCATGGTACGTGGTATTGTGTTAATGTTTAATCCATGGGCTTCCACCAACTCGTCGACTCGTTCGATGAACATCAGCGGGTCTTTGCCCCCGTCATATTTGACAGACCATTTCCGGACTTGTTCTATAGTTTGTGTAACAGGTGGAATTGTTATTTGTACATCGTTATTTAGTTCTTGTGTGATCGGTATTGTTTTTGTATGTTTACGCGCAAGGTCCCATAGCATTTCTCTCCGGACCATGTCATAATCTTCTTCGTCGATGTATGCTGCTAGTCTTCTTCGTAATTCCTCTACGGATCCACTCGTTTCTAGTTGCATTTCGGACAAGTAGTGGATTAATTCATCTTTCCGTAAGATGTACAACCAGGATTTAATCGGCGTGGTAGGTCTTCGAAGTTCTTGGTCGCCAATGTCGACCCTTGTTGCTCTATAGACATAATTGATTTCCTTTCGATAATCGAGTTTAATATTTACCAATGTAGTTTTGTCCTGGTATTTTTGCGATGAATGTTACAGTCCCTCTGAAACTCAGTCCCTGCTCGGGCGCCAATTGTAACGACCTTTTTTCGTTCATTACGTTTTGCTGGAGTAGCAAAGCGGTTGTCCAGGTTCGTTATAATAGAATTTATATCTTCGGGACTGAATTTTTTTAGGAACCAAAATAAAAGCGTATTTTTATAATAATTTACCAATTTTATTTATTCCAATATATATAAAAAAAAACAATGGTTATAGACATTTAAGAAAAAAAAATAGTAATTCTTGGTAACTCCGACGTTCACTTCTGATGTTTGTGTCTTCAGGGTAAATATAGGCGTGATTTTATGGAATCGTCATACAGGCTTCCGTGGTTGACTCTGACGTTGAGGAGGTTCCTGACAGGACCGCGTTCTCTCCTGGGTTCCTTCTCTCCTTGCGGATGTTTTGTGTCAAGCAATTTGTCTGTGGGCTGAATGATCAAAATAATAATTAACAGAAAAGAGAAAATTAAATGAAATCAGTTTCCTACTTTGATCGAATTGACCAGTTAGACTGAAGTAGCCTGTAATCTAGTTTTGATCGAATTGACCAGTTTCCTATTTTGATCGAATTGACCAGTTAGACTGAAGTAGCCTGTAATCTAGTTTTGATCGAATTGACCAGTTTCCTATTTTGATCGAATTGACCAGTTAGACTGAAGTAGCCTGTAATCTAGTTTTGATCGAATTGACCAGTTTCCTATTTTTGATCGAATTGACCAGTTAGACTGAAGTAGCCTGTAATCTAGTTTTGATCGAATTGACCAGTGAACTTGTAAATCGCTTGAGCTCCAAGAGACAAGTTGTTCGTTCTGTAAAATGCGCGTTCTTATATACCGAATTTACCGGAGCTTTTTGGTGTAGCGCACCGGTAACCTTTTGACGTTGGTGGTAACTTTTGTGTTTATTTTGTGTATTTTGTGTTTTCTTTGTGTACTTTGTGTTTTTACGTGTACTTTGTGCTTCTAACCACAGCTTTTCGTGCTTTAATGTTTGTGTTTTGCATGTTTTGTTTTTTTTTGTTTTTTTTTTTTTTAACGAGGACTCAAAAGCATTGAAAGCCTAAGTCATTGCGAAACTTTAATCCGCTAAAAACATGTCCTCATGTTCGGACGGAGAGTCCCTCCTGGAACTACCGTTAGGTATTACGTCAGAAAGGCGTCCTGAGCATTAGCTCAAATCGTTAGTTATGTCGTCTGAGTTCGTAACTGTCCTATTTCTTGAGGTGAGACCTCAGTTGTGGCGCGTTCGCTGGCACGACGTCGTTCAATGGCTCTAAGTTGAGTCATGATCCTAGCAGCAGCGGTCGATATCAATCGCCAAATATCCAGCGAGTTAAGCATTTTTAAAATTAAATTTCCCGGGCAAATAGGCTCGCCAATAGCCTCACTTATTTCTGCTCTGACTTCGTTAAAACGTGGACAAGAGAAAAGAACGTGGTTTGCATCCTCAGCGACCCCTTCACAGCTAGGACAAAACGGATCTTCTTCGTGTTTGAAACGATGAAGGTACTGTTTAAAGATTCCATGTCCGGTTAGGATCTGAGTGAGATGGAAATCTACCTCACCATGCGACCTGTGTACCCACACATCAAGATTTGGGATCAGGGTATATGTCCACCTCCCTTTCATCGAGTCATTCCACCGTTGTTGCCATGTAATCATGGAAATGCTTCGTGCCTCATCCTTCGGCAATCTACTGTGCCAGATCTCTCGAAGTTCGTAGGCCAACAGATCAAGCGGCGGCATGCCTGCTATAACACATGCAGCATCGTCCGATACAGTGCGGAAAGCACTGATTACACGTAGCGCGCTTAGCCGGTACGTGCTTTTTGCGCCTGCAGCGTATGATCTCGTTCGCATAGCAGAAGCCCAGATGGGAGCTGCATACAATATTACCGAGCTGGTGACTCTTGCTAGGAGTTTACGCTTGGTGGATCGTATACCCGAGGTGTTTGCCATGAGTCGTGAGAGGGCAACAGTGACTTTAGTCGCCTTCTCATTTATCGCCCTTAGATGGTCTCTAAAAGTAATCCTGGTATCTATGATAACACCCAGGTACCGCAGGGATGACTTCGATGTAATTTCGAAACCACCGCTTGAAAACGAGAAGACTTCCCGTTTTTTCCGAGTACTGAGTAGCACAGCTTCCGTTTTTTGAACCGCCAGTTTCAGTCCGTTTTCACAAAGCCAACTGGTTACCTTATCAACAGCTGCTGAGCACCGCTCCGTGATTTCCTCTATCGTTTTCGCAACGACAACGATTGCAAGGTCATCAGCGTAGGCCACGCTTGTGCAATTCTCTGGAAGGATGACTTTTAGTACACCATCGTACATCGCATTCCACAATGCAGGACCAAGTACGGAGCCTTGCGGAACACCACAAGTAACCGTGTACTGCTTGATTCCATCGTCAGTCTGGACCTGAAGCCATGTACCACTAAAGTAGTTGTGCACCATTCTCCTGAGGTACCATGGGACCCCAAATTCATTGAGTGCTTGTGATATCTTCGACCAATTAGCTGTGTTGAAAGCAAAACAGTGTTATTCAGTAATAAATGTCTAAATTTGTATCTTTTAGAAGCAAATTATAATAATTTCTGTGACACTCTATATAACACACATTTTTGTCAAAGCCCAAAAGAGAGAATTTTGACGAATTATGACACTCTACATAACATGGCCCTAAGAAAATGTAAGTTATATGTAAAGACATCGTTGTTAGCTGTCATAATAATACTATTTTTTAATTAATAAGTGAGATTTTATGCATCAACTGCTATGATAGGAATATAAAATCATCACCTATGTAAAAATAATTGCAGTTTTAATAAATTCTTTAAACTACTATTAAGAGCGTCATTTTTATATATCCTTACGACTGAGACAAGCGAGACGACCAAAGTGTTTCTTTGATAGTCGCTCATGGAAACCGTAGCAGAGTATGTTCGCGGCTTCGTTAAAAAAATCGGGTGATAAATAGTGTAAATGTTCTCAGTATTACCAACTTCCGATACCAAGCAACAAAATGTTTAGTCTGGCAAAGGCGGCTGGACGAGACCAAGAATGACGTACACTCTACGGGTGTAGAGTGTACGTCATTCCAACTAAGCACGTAAAGTTAAAGTATTAGAATTAGACACGGTAAAATTACTTGATTAACGTATTAATGTTTATTTGAAAATAAGCAATTAATCCAATATTATTATATTTTAAATAAAAACCTAACATATGAAGCCTTCGATGAAATTTATTTTTGATAAATAAAAATAGAATAAAATAAAAACTATTAAATATATATAATTAAAGAAAATAATTACTTATAAAATGAGTTGAATATTTTGTGGAAGACCATAAAATTTGTGAATCATTTTAATGTTCTGCAGTAGTTTATGGTAATTTTGACTGCAATCAATGTATATAATTTAGGATGAAACTTAATTCTTATGGAATGAATATTAAGCAAAGGAACTAAATGAGCAATTTTATTAATTATGTACTTAACAAGCTATATAATAGAAGTATATTAAATTGGTTAATATATATAATATAAGCAATTATTTTATATATTGAAAATATCTTATTAGAAAATAGTTTGTGGATAAAATTTTATTTCATTTGTGATTTCAAAATGTCACCTCACAGAATTTTGAGGTTTCTTGTCTGCGCTACTATTTTTCAAATTTACGAGTCAACAATATCCACCTCATATATCACGAAATCTTCTTCTTTATTAGAATTACTTGTGGAGATAAAAGAAGAGAAAAACTACTACACTCTGTTAATAGGAAATTGCAGCAAATCATCAATTGAGCTCGATTCTTTGCTACAAGGCCTGAACGTTTCCATTTCACATATACAACCCGGCGATGAAATCTATTTGGATGCCGACTATAATACAAACTTTATTGCATTAGTATGTTTACAAGAGCAAAATTTTAATGAAACTTTGGATATATTGGCCAAGGAACTACAACATTTGCGACAAACAAGAATTGTTGCTTATTTAGAAGATATTGACGATGGTGCTGATAGTGTAAGTATCATTAGTTCAATAATGGAACAGTGTGCTACATTAAAAATGCTAAATGTCCTTCTATTAACTTCTAATTTTGAGCAAGTGAAAATGTGTTACACCTATGAACTATTTCCTGACGTTACAATCAAGTCGCAACGATTTCAACTATCACAAAGCACGATATATTTTCCTAATAAAGTTGCAAATATGATGGGAACAAAATTACGTACAATACCAGATAAAAATGTACCACGCTCCATCGTGTATAAAGAAAGAGATAGACGGATTCGTTTAACCGGTTATATTGGAAAGCTTGTAGTGTTGTATGCTAATAAAATTAATGCTACTTTGGAGTTTACAAACTCAACAGATAATAAAACTATTTTCTATCGTGATATGATGTATGCAGTCATTAACGAAAGTTATGATCTTGGAGCAAGTTTATCCTCAGCTGAAACTCTGTATGAGCAATATGTGCACACATATCCGGTAGAAATCTTTGATTGGTTTCCCATGTTTCCGATTATCAAAGATCTAGAAAATAGCGCTATGTTTATACGGATTTTTGAAGGTGAATTTATGTTAGTCATTGTGACACTTATATTAATATTTTCGATGTTATTAAGTTCAAATGATAAATTAGTTGACACTAACAGAAAATTAAATATATTGGATTTGCTATTGAATGAGAAGAGTTTGTGTGGCATTTTAGGTTCAGGATTTAATATGAAAAAATCTCCATTGGTAAATTTACGTTTAATTTATTTTTCAATTTTTTTAACTGGTTTATTGGTAAATGCTATGTATGCCGTACATCTTAAAACATTCCTAACCATGCCACTTGCAGCTAAACAAATACAAAACTTTGAAGACGTTTATAATGGGCCTATAAAGATTATGGTCTCACATCAAGAAGTACGTGCCTTTGATTATCTACGTGAGGAAGGATTTTGGCGTGAACATGTAGCCGCTTTTGTGGTGGCACCGACATTTGATAATTTTGTTGAGCATCGTAATAATTTCAATACTTCCTATGGCTACTCAGTAACGACTTCCTTGTGGCCAGTGATCGAGCAAAAACAGGCATTATTTAGTCATAAGCTATTTCGAACTGCCAAAAATTTTTTCTTTGCAAGATCTTTGCATTTCAGTATTCCATTGCAGAGAAATTCTATATATAAGGAAACACTAGATATGTTTATATTAAAAATTTTTAGTTCAGGATTGATGGAACATTGGATGTCGTCAAGTTTCACGGAATTGGTAAGAATTGGCAGAATGACTTTGACGGACTTAAGCGAATCACGACAATTGCGAGCTTTAAGTATTGATGATTTTATTTGGATTTGGTTTGCCTTTATTATAGCACTTTGTATTAGTTTATTTGTGTTCTTGATAGAGATTATATGGAATGTTCAGGCTAAAATAAACCTATTAAAAATAAATTAGAAAAAGCAAAATCAAAGTGTAATGTATACTACCTTTAGTAATATTAATAAAAAAATATTTGTTTATCAATAATTCTAGACTTTAAAAATTCATTTTATTGTGACTAATAGTACTAACCATGCTCCACATGAATGCGCATTATATCAAATCGCTAAGTATTGTGATCCGATAATTGGCATAATTTTTTAAACTGGTTATTATTTTAAATATATACCTAACTAGGAAATTTCTTTTAAGTGTATAAATTGTTAATTATATACTTTGCTGTACTACGGGTCTTCAAGATACTGAAACTTTTAACTTTTTATAATAAATTGATCTATATCTATAATATATATTTATGTTCATCAATGATTGACATATTTTTTTTGAACTAGTTATTACATATTTACTTAACTAGTACATTGTATTTATTTGTGTGAAATTGTGAAATTTGTATTTAGTTTTGCCACGGGTCTTCAAATTACTGCAACTTTTATTTACGATTTATTCTAAACATCTATAATACTTGTGTGCCTCAATCAGTCGCAACGGTCTCTACAAAATTTCAAGATATGTAGTATCAAAAATACTGTCCACTTAATTGAAGAATTCAATATCCT